CCCCAAAACCCCAAAACCCCAAAACCCCAAAACCCCGGGTGGCATGGGGAAGTTGAATTAGGAATGTGTAATTAGGAAGCTGGGGGATTTAGGCTTGGACGGGGAGATTTTAGGGTGATTATGGAAAAGGGTTTGAAGTGACAGGCCGAGGATTGCGGTAATAAGGCAGATTATTTTCATAGTAATTTTAAGGTTTATATCTGTTCCTTACATTGTAAGTCTGGTCAGAGAGGGAGTTGAATTAAGCTGGAGGATAGATCAGAATTTGAAGGAGTCACAGAAATCCTCAAAGTTCTCCAAACATGTATTAAGAACTTAATGATTGCAATGGAGTCATGAAAGAATGATGAGGAATCAGATGACTCAGGAAACTTATTTTCCTTATCTTCCTCAGAAGACTCAGAAGAATCAAAGCTGAATTTGAGCCAAGTTCAGAATAAGATTACACAGATTGTAAAAAGAGTTAACACAATGAAGCAAAAGCAACAGTTTCAGGTTCAGAGAGAAGTCAAACAGAAGCTGAAAGATCTCTTCTCAGAACTCAAAAGTGATGAAACTTTCAAAAAGTTCTGCGTTGAAAACTACATCGCCTTCGTTTGAGACTTCTTGAAAGTGAGCAAGTTTAAGGTTGGTGAAGTATTTGATTTCGAAATCAATATAAATAATGAAGCGAACTTCAAAGAATTAGAAACAAAAATTGATGCCAAATATGATTCATTGAAACAAGAATTTCAGAAGTTTAAAGAAGATGTTGTGACAACACTCAACCCGACAACATTGAAAGGCCTCAGTCATTCTTATAAAGTATTCACGAAAAAGAAAAATATTATTGAAAAGAACAGTGAGTTGGTGATTGATCTTGAAGATTCAAGCAATCTTGAATTTATTGAATGAATGGGAAGCAATATATTAGCAAATCTAGAAACCTTAAAAATTTTTAATATCAAAAATAAAATGCCGGTTGTCAAAGATTTTATATTTTCTTCATTCCCCCAACAAGCAAATAGATTTCATTTAAACTGTGGAGGATCAGTTATAAATAGTGATCAGATCATTGATGTTGTATGATATATGAATCCAAAAATTGCAGAAACTCTATATCTTTACAACCTTGAAGTGGGCCAAATCCAGATGAGAACGCTATTTCAGCTCACAAAAGATAATAAGAAATTCCTCGGGTTTCCCTGCTGTAAGCTTGAACTTGATACTGTTCCGAATTTGCAACACTGACTTATCAGATCTAAAATTCAAACACTTGCCCTATCATATTGAGGAAAACCAGAATACTGAGATTGGAGGAACCATCCTGAAAGGTTTGAGAACTTAATTAAAGGATTATCTCAAAGTGAAGACTTTAAGAAGAACTTGAAGTCTTTACATATGACGCAATGAGGAATGGCCAAATATAAAATACAACAAATACTAGACAGCAATGGTTTTGAAAAGGTAAAGATTGAACACCATTCAGAATAGGATAACTCTATTGTAATTACAAAACATATTCAATAAAATATTACCAATAAGGGGTTTTGGGGTTTTGGGGTTTTGGGG